TAAAATAATATAAAATAAAATTTTTAATAAAACACATTTATTTTTTCAAACTATAAAATTTTTTCTAAATTACACTTAACTTATTAACCAATACTATATTTCGATTTACTATATGTTGTTTTGTCATAGTACACTAATTTTCATTAATTTTGGTCAATAAATAATAATAAAAAAATATTTTAGAAAAATAGTAGTGTTGTTGCAAAAATCTATCATTGTAGGCCTACACCCTAAAATAAACATAAAACTTAATAGCGTCAGGCATTTACATGTAGTTTTTGTATTTTTTATTCTTTTGTTGCTGAAATATAATGAACCACGATTCTGAATCAACCACTTGACGGATTTTCATCATTTTTGTGCTGAACATATAATTTTTAGAACTAGGGAATGTCGAAGCCATAATTTTAGTTTAGGGATCCAGTTTTTTGGAAATTAAATTTTAATTTTTAAAAAGTCTAGCAGCCGACGCTAACATTCTAAACTAGCTTTTGGTATAAAATAATTTGCTTAACATAACAGCTGTAAACATTCAGCGTTTGTGACACAAATTTATACACAGTTTTAACTGACTACTCGACTCCCCTACGTAGGACGGGCTAACCCCTCGTTTATATTTAAAACAAAAAAAAGAAATAAGGTTCTATCTATATTATATGGGAAGTTACCGGTATAGTAAAAAAAAATAAACATTGCAAAATCACATGATTTGGCCTGGTAATTCTGGTTGTCATATGGCTAATAGCCCTTGCAGCTGAATGTTACACACAGAAAACTCAGCTGGCCGTTCTGGCACAGAAAACAGCAAAAGTTCTTGGCAGCCAAAGGGTTAATACAACTATAGATAAAACATACTCCCTTAGTAGATTTCTCATCCTAATGGAACAGCTGAAGACAATTTTATTGTTAGTTCTGTACGGTTTATGTAGAGGTCGTGTTTTGTTTACAATTTGTTTCCCGTTAATACAGTCATTGAAAACCTCGTTTAGCCAAATAATACAATCTAATCATAAACAATAAATTGTCCCCTAGTTATTTAACCAAACAGTAAAGTACAAATCAAGAAATTAACCCTAAAATAATAGAAACAAAATTTCGTCGACACTATTGCCCAGTGTGGCGTACATGAACTAGACATGAAAAACGAGCTTCAAAATTTACAATGGGATGAGAAGTCTACTTGTGTTGGTTAGTCTATGATACAACACAGTTTACTTTTATTTAAACACTCCTTTTTACTATTCAAATATTCCACTCGAGTCATCTCAGTTGGCGACGATTTGGTAAAAAACTATTATCAATTCTTGTTTTATTCTATTATTTTCAAGATATTTTATTTCGTTAAACATTAACTTAAAATGAATTAAGAACAATTTGAAAGGCGTATGAATGTTTTAGCTGCAGCTCTAGGTAATACAACTTCAACTCCCCAAATCAATCCTTTTGAACATTTTGATTCAAATAATGATAAATTGAAATCATATTTGGAACGTTTTGAAGATTATTGCAATTTGAAGAACATTAGTGAAGACAAGATGAAAGCTCACCTCCTGTGCTTTTCTATTGGTAAGGAACATTACAATAATCTGGCAACTCTTTTAGGCCCAGAAAACCCTGTAAAAGACTTAAGTTTTTCACAATTAATCGAACATTTCACAGTGATGTTGTCACCGACATTATCTCATATTGTTGCACAACACTATTTCCTCAGCGTTTCACAACAGTTGCATCAATCTATCTCTGATTTTGTCACAGTCCTGAAAGATAACCTGAATAATTGTAATTTTTACACTTCTTGCAATGAATGTGAAAGTAAAATTTCAATTGCTGATGAATTTCTTCGCCCTCAATTTATTAGAGGACTAAAAGACAATTGGATACGTGAACAACTTCTACAAGACACTAATCTCAACAGTTTTGACCCACTCCTCAAGAAAGCAATTGCCTTAGAAGCTTCCCGCTATGAATCAAATAAAATTTGTAATCCTGTCACACAATCATCAAGTTAAAATGCGGATACACACAAAATTGATAGGCATTCAAGGTCTAAGGCCCCCTTCACACTGGGCCACCATGGTGGTGACACCGGTGGCGACACCATGGTGGCTTTGTTACATTAGCATTGATTTAAATGGGACATCTTCACACTGAGCTTTGGTGGCGCGTCTGGCCGCGCGACCAGAAATGCGGTGGCTCGGGGTTGCAATTTTCAAAGACACCAGTCTGGTGGCGCCACCAGTTTACACCATGGTTTCTTATCAGACTGTTCACATTGGAGCAACTGGCAGCGCCACCAGACACTACCAGTGGGCATTACTCAGTATACTAGTTTACTAATCTTTTGAAGTTGTTAAGGTAATAAATATGGGGAAACAATTTTAATGATATAACAAAATGTATACTCTATTTCAATAACATCTTTTCGTCATTGCAATGTATACATTAAGTCAAGGTATTACAGTGTTATTAATAAATGGTATATTAACTATGTTTTTATTTAATTTTCCACAACGTTAGTAGCAGCCCGCAGTCTCGTAGATTGTCCTGATATTTTATCTTTCAGACGTCCCAGAAGCTCATCAAAACTTAAAACACTCATTCTTGAGTAAGTGTGAAACGTGTCAGGGTTATTTCTTAGGTCTTGGTAGTGAATGAAAAAAGTCCCTCTGGTACTTATATCTCATAAAACGGATGAACCAAAAAACTACATTTTTTCTTATGTTTTGGCAATTTCAAAAAAATATATACGCTAAGCACCTGCCTCTTCGACGTCCAACTGTGAGCTTTGTGGCTGCAGGTGCACTGGTGGCTGAGCTGGTGGTTGAGCTGGTGGTCCATGCGCATTTTGACCTGCCACCAGTGTCACCAACGGTGTCGCCACCATGGTGGCCCAGTGTGAATAAGACAAAGGAATATCAAAGTTTCAAGCAATTTAAGACTCCAAAATATGATGACCGTGGTTCCAATAGATCTCAATCACAACATTTTCGTAACAAAAGCTTAAAAATACGCGTTAACTACAAAGCTTTGGGTATTGATGGACTTTGTTTCAAATGTGGTCGATCAAACCATCAATCTAATGAATGCAAAACTAATCCGAATAACCTTAATTGCACTTCCTGTGGAAAACAAGGACACGTAGGCTATCAAAAGTTTGTATCACTTCTCTACTAAAGAACTCTACAACAAACATCCTGTTGTCTCATTACACTGAAGATGAATCCAGTTACCCAGATGAGTATGGAATCACACAAATCAACGACATAGAAGATCTTTACACAGTAGGACCAGACTCAGACAAATACATGGTTACAGTCACTATCAACAACAAGCCTCTGACATTTGATGTAGACGCTGGTGCACGATTTTCCTTAGGCCTAATCTCAGAAACGGACTTTGATAAACTTGGACTTAAATTACCACTTCAACCAACTCCTATCTCATTTAGCTCCTACTTTGATCATATAATAAAACCTAAAGGTAAAGTAACTGTCTCGGTTTCTTACAATAAAAAAATACTAAATGCTGATTTATTTGTAGTACCTGAGGGTAATGGTTGTTAGGACGAATTTAGATTCGTGGACTTGAAATTGAACTCAGTGAGATAGACAACAGAAAACCATCACCGATGAATACAGTTGATGTTAATCTAGTTCCGTCTCTAGAGGATATATTCAAAAAATACTCAGCAATTTTCGAAGATAGACTGTCAAGCACCACCACAAGAGATCCATCCAGAGTCTGAATAGTATACAAATAATCCAACAGAACTAGACGGTACTCTAAGGGAAGAAAATCTAGACAACCCTCAAGCCACAGAACCAGGCGAACAAAAAGAAAATAAATCAACTCGTCCTTCCAGACAACGCAAGGTTCCATCCTATCTTAAGGACTTTGCTCTCCAGTGATTAAGTGGGGGAGAATGTTATGAACATATAAAGCTAATTGTCACCATAGCAGCCAGTTATGTTTATTATTCAATGATGTTTATTTTATATTCAGATTTAATATAACACAGTTTACTTTTATTTCAACACTCAGTCTTTTTACTATTCAAATATTCCACTTGAGTCATCTCAACTGTATTTTGTAATTGGCAGAGGATACACGTCCGGTAACCAGACGTGGATTAGACGTCCGGCAATTACTGTCATAACCTAACCTAACCAACCAAACTTGCTGATAATGAAAAAATCGAATTAAGGTTAAATTCTTTCTCTATAAAAAAATTATAAATGCCAAAAATTCTAATAAAAGATGTACAGTTAAGAATAAATGGTATTCAATGCAAAATCTTCGACAAAAAGTTAAAGTCACCAATGGGACTCGAACCCTGGACCCCTTGAATATGAGCCGAGCACCTTATCCACTACACCACGACCACCGATGGCTGGTCATGGTATTGTTGTAGTAAAGGCGTTCCAGGCTCCCGCAACCCCATGACGTCATTGCCGTACGCCTTATCCACGTCCGGTTACCGGACGCGTATCCTCTATGTTTGTAATTTGCTAGTATACTATAGATGACTTGTTGTAAACACATGTTACAAGTCAGTTTTGTTTACTTTTTCCTTGTTATTTTGTTCAACCAACATAGTTCATTAGCAACCCATAGGCCAATGTTAAATTTTTAAATTTTCAAATGAGTTGTGTAGCGAAATACAAATTTTCCTGAGGTAGTGGCTGTTACCAATAACGTTTTTAGGGCTATAAGTCCATAATTCCAAAATTTAGTAAAAATACTTTTGCTGCATTTTGAGATATATATTACAGACAACAGACATAGCTCGTATTGATACAAGTTAAGGAGGAAAAGGGGGAGGGAGTTAAGGGAGTTAAGTATAGGAAGGATAGGATAGCTACTTAAGTGCTATTAGACGTATTTTTTATTCACGCTATTATTTTTATTTTGTAAATTTAACAACATGTACAATGTTCACCAAGAAATTATTTAAAGAAAAGTTTAACTTAGATAAAGGAATTTATTTTAAATTTTTACAGGGTCAATCCAGAACTTCCCTTCAGATCCTGTAGCCTTTTATACAATCGACAATAAAGTTGAAATGGTAAGGCAATATTACAGACTTATTATTTTAGAGTGCAGTATTATTGTTTGTCATATTTTAAACATATTCAACATTTACCGGTATCTTACGATGATCACAATTGTTAGCTTTAAAATGCTAAGAGCCGTTAATATACACTTTGTGTTTGGCTAACTTTCATAGTTTGTTGCCATTGTTAATCAGCACAAAAATTGAATGCTAAAGGTTTAGTATACCATGAATAAATGTATGTAGATTTTGAAAAAGATTTGCCTTGAAGCCTAGCATGAGTTATGGATACCAACCAATTCTCAAGGGATATTAGAAAGACTCATTGACTATTTTCTGAATGTGCCATAATTTGAGACTCCCCCTCCCACCCGTGTTAACTTCCTAGTTACTCCTACATAAATTATTGGAAGTGAAAATGAACACAAAAGAACATGAATCACATTGTGACTTAAGACATAGTCATAAAAGAGTAAACATTATTGAATAACATTTAGTTTGTTTCTTTAGTTTAACTTTGGCGTTTTACTGTGTTCAGGGAGAGATGGCTGCCCTACTTTTCAACCGAGGTGGCCGACTCGCATTCTTCCTTTGTTTTGTATCTTATCTGTTCGGAGACTTGTCTATCTATGCCGCAGCCATTGGGCAGTCTCTAGTGGACACATACTGGTAACTCATTATACAACTTTAGTTTTGAAAGTGTTAAGAAATTACAGAAATATGTATAGTTTTATTAATACGTCAATATGTGCTTCCTTCTTTGTGGGGAGGAATTTTGGGAGGAATCTACCGTACGGAAGGACAGTGGCGTAACAAATTTTTACGGGCCCCCCTGCAAACTTATTTGTTGGGCCCCCCTCTCATGAGTTTTTTTTAGACCATCGATACAACATAATCAAACGCCCTCCCCTTCCACCCAGAGTTATTTTTGGACCACCGATACAATGATGAAACAGATAAATCATAAAAAGAGTAGTAAATAAATTATGAAAAAATATTAAATTAAAAATTAAAATATTAAATTATGGGTTATGTTCCATAAAAGGGTGTGTTAAGTATTTCAGTTGTGGTTTGATGAAAATGTTACATCACTACATCATTATATCAATATCAGTGTTTGTAAATAGTTTTGAAATCAAATAAAAAAACCTTATTTTCCATCCGTGTATCAGAATGTTTATATCAAGAAGGTTAAAAATTTTTCATTTAATTTATCATTATCACACATGTTATCCATTTTTATTACCCTGATAATTAGACAAATTTGTTAATTACAAGGCAAAATGAGGTTTGAATTCCCCTATTAACCCCCTTAGGCCCTTTAGTTGCCTTTGGCTGTTGGCTATTAATCAACAGCTGTATCTAAGGAATATGTCGGCCTTTGTCTCTTTCAAAACTAAAAGGTTGCGCCACTCATCCTACACTCATCTCCATTAATTCTTGGCTTAAAATACCTACATCGGTATGGTCACCATTTCAAAGTACAGTATTAAAATATTAATTTATCAGGTTAGTTTAATCTTTGGTTATAATTAACTCATACACTAAAAAATGGTTAATTAAACCCTCCAAGTGTCCATAGTAATGGCATCAATGTCGGCCCATTTATTGCAGAATCACAGGGTTTTATTAAAATGTATCTTAGAAACTTAAAAACACTCTAAAGTATACGGTTTTATATACGATTTTGTTTGGAAAATTATGGGCTTCAATATAATATATAAAACACTACAAAAAAAGTTTTCTAGGGAGCGGGTTGTTTTTCAAGTAAAGGAAAAATAATGCAGCAATGAAAAATTCTAACTAGCTAATTTAGGTGTTTGTCCTTCTAAACACATCAAATAACTACCATATTTTAAATCTTCTATTTTCATTATTTTGATATAGGCTAGCAAAAAAAAAAAAAAATCTGTATTATACCTAGAGATGTGCTAGCCCAAGCTTTTTTATCAAACCAAACTTGGGGTAATATCCTGATCATCTACCACAGTTGTGGATACATTATTGACGTCTTCTGGAGTCACAGCAAAAGCCTGAAGGCACGGGAAAACCATCATCGTTTCCCGCGGTCACAAAAACCTCGTGGTAAAATCACAAACATCTCTGGTTTCTCAGGGTAATGTGGAAATTATCGTAGTCTTCTGGAATTGCTGCAAAATTCATATCATTTCCCGCGGTTGTGTAGACATCATTGTCGTCTTCGCGGTCGTTTGGACACCAAAACTCAAAACATATTATCAATTAGAAATCATAGTTAAAAAAACCAAAAAAGAACTAGAAGAATGGCTCTCTCAAAATGGACTATTGTTGAGCAATTAAAAAACACAAATCTTGCAATTTAAGAGGAAAAACTGTTCTGTTCATATTCGTTAAATAGTAGCGTATTAACCCCGGCGGATTCACAGAAAGTGTTAGGAATACATATTGATTCAAAATTAAATTAGGGAGATCATGTTCAATATGTAACAAATAAATTCAAGCTCAAGTCAATCTGAAGCAACCCGAACTCGAACAAACTATCACTGTCTGCCTCAGCGATGAATTCACGCATGATTCATGATAAATAATTTATATTTTGGTACTTATTTTTTCTTCATATCCATTATTTCTGAGCCCCTTATACCTTATATACGCCTCTACCTAAGCCTTTTAAGCCTCTGCAATAGCGCCGAGTGGCTAGGAAAGTATAAATGTGATGAAGACGCTTAAAATTATACTATTCTAAAAGCTTTTATATCAGCAATTGTTCTCATTTGAATTAAATGAGACTGGTCAACCAAAATAAAGTGGTCTAACGTTCAACTAAGTTTGCAGATTTGCTGTGAAGTGTACATTGTATTTTACATAATTTTAATTTGCACTTCTGTTTATCAAATGTTTCAGCAAGTCAACAAATTTCACTGATCCTGATGATAAACCGTGCCTGCCTAATCATTCCTACTCGACGATAGAAGCCTACAGGGTATTCCTGGTAAGAATAATACATACAAGTAGGCTATGCATTTCAATCAACACTAGATTTAGGGTACTTGCGACCCTAGGCCAAATTAACCTGAGCGGCCCCTGCTCCTTAAGCGGAACTTCCTGCGATCGCAGTAATATCGTAAACATCTCCTGAGATCTTGGGGATATCATCATCACTACCCGTGATCGAGGCATTGTGAACAACTCCTGCAATCACGAGAAAATCGTCATCATCAACCGCGATCACGGCGAAATCGTGAACATCTCGCTTGGTCACGGGTTCATCATCGTACCCCGCAAACATCGCAAATTATTAATTTAAAAAAATTGAAATTCCATTTTTGCTACAGCAAAATTTTTTGTGTGAGACTCAGCGGAACGAAACTACGACCTTGCTGGCCTAGTGATCAGTAGTTGGCTTATGAGGTACTGATTTCAATACCTCAGATAGATCACTACTCACTAGCATAGTAAAATTATTACCTTATGGCACCAATATGTTGTATTGTATTGTGAGAGGGGTGGGCTCGTGGTCTAAGCAAGTCAACCGAAGCTTATTGTGCATCCCCACTTGCCGCTAACTGGGTAAGCCTATGCCGATATCTTTGTCTTGGTACAGGAGCTTAAGCCCAATGTTAGCGTCTGGCTCATCACCTGGCTGCTTTAGACCAAATGGAGCCCTTCTCCTAGCTCAAGTCTATCACAATCCATAATGATGTGTTTTGCATTCTCATCTGACTGGTTGAAAAGTCGACACTCTTCATTGTCATTGACATCCTAGAGTGCGGAGGTGTTTCCTGAAATGGCCATGTCCAGTGATAAGAGCAAGTACCTGCATGACCTGCTCTCTCCCCAGCCTTATCAGCCAGCGAGTGAAGAGGGTGCTAGGTTCTGAGAGCAATTTCTCGCCAAGTGATTGTCCACGATAATTACGCCAGCGCGCCAGGGTGTTGTCCCCTGTATCATTTGGTTATTGTGTGTTTAGCGGTAGCTTTGCTGGTGCCACAGAACGGCTCCGGTCCAAAAAACGGCATGCTTGCACCTTTTTTTCCAGCTTATCTGCCTCTCATTATCGCCTTTGCCAGCATGGCCTGTAACCCAGCCAAGAGTTCGCAGATTCGCATGTGGAAAGTTTACAGAGGGTGTTCAAACACTCCCAAACTAGTTGTGAGGTGACCTCATTTGAGTCAAGAGCTTTAAGAGCAGCCTGACAATCAGACATAATCACTATCTTCTTGTCTTGGCAGCATCTGGCTAGTCCTAGGTTGGCACAAGTCAAGATACCACAAATTTATGCCTCAAAGATGGTACAGTATAGTCCCAAATTGGCAGAAAGTTCTGTTCTGGGTGGTCGACTGTATACTCCAAAACCATATTTTCCATCGACTAGGGAGCCTTCTGTGTACCAGACGAAACTCTCCGTTTCTTGGAGGTACTCATCCCTAGATCGGAATCCAACAGTGAAGGGTTTGGTGAAAAATGCCTCTGTACATAGGACGCCCGAGGTCATTTCAAGCACAGGACACGGAGCCACAGTTTTGGCAATGACGCAGTGGCCTGCCCCTGACATGCAGTCCCTTCACAGATTTACAACCTTTAAACAGTAAGTTGTCTTGAAGGCTTCAGCTTTGATAAAGATGTCCAGAGGTAGCAGCCCAAGAGCGACTTCTAGAGTAGCAGATGGACTGCTCCTGAAGACACCAGTGGTTTGTAGCGTACCAAGCCTTTGCAGGCTTTCTAGTTTGGCTATGCCAGTTACCAGATTCACTTTTGTCCACCAGACTAGCGAACCATAGGTAATTTGAGGACTAACCACAGCTTCAGTGCTTACAGGGGTTTAATTCCCTAAGGCCCGATTTTACCAAATTCTTGCTAACGATGGTTAGGTTAATCTTCGGTTAAAACTAACCGATGATTTAAACCACGGTTAAGGAAATCTGGTTTCACCACCGAAAACGCGTCAAAACTAACACTGGTTTTATAAACGAGAGTTTAGAGTAAAATCCAGGTGGCGGTGGCAATGAACTGTCATAATACCGGGCTGTTATTGGAGCAAGTAAACATAACCTCGAAAATAAATCAGTGTTGACAGTGTTTATGAGGTAGTGAAAACAAAACTGAAGACAGCAAAGTTTACAGGAATACAATAGATTCTGAGCAAAAAGACAAAAATAACAACAGAAAGCAAGAATAAATAGCAAAACAATTAACACAAGTAAATAAAGGCAAAGCAATGTTGATCAAACATATTCAATTGAGGAACAAATTGATTGAGTTTTGCGGTCGAGTCAAGACTCAAAATCTAACTTTTTACAGGGATGTTCAATATTCTGTTTGATAACTATGCCTAACCAGTTTGGTACATTTGAAGTAGTGAAAAAACTGGAGTCAAAATAATTACAAGAACGAAACCCAATAAAGATAAAACCAAAATAATGATTTTCTATAAAATACTAGCAGAATAATGACAATTTAGGTTTAGATATCTATCTATCTATCAATATATTAATTACGTAAGCCGATTCTTTGCGTCAAAATTGTGGGCGACTGGGAAGTCGTAGGACGACGGGAGAGGGCTCAAATTAAAGGTCTTGATCCCGTGACGGCGGGAAATTAGATATAACGTAAAATGTTCTCCATAAGAATAGCATTAGAAGGCATTTACTGCTGATTTTTGTTTACTTCAATACAGCTGATCGTGATTTATCATTAAGCAAGTAAGCTTACATTTGGATTACTCATTTGCCAGTCAAACCTGCAATGTAATGTATACCATGGTGGAAGGAAAAATTAATAAAAACAATAACAATCAAATCAAAACAAATACATACTAATTTGACCGTTACAATCAGGTGATCTTTTTGCAATCCGAGTGACGTCAGAATATGACGGGAATAGCACACCTATGTTTTTTCCTTCCACCATGAATGTATACTATATAAAACCAACTATATAAAAGGATAATGTTACCCTTAATAATCAAGACTTTTTAGTTATGTCAAAGTTTTAAGATTAAAGAAACGATTCAAGATTAAAAGAAGATCTTCTTTGTTTTGATTTCAAAACATATGTTAAAGATTTATTCCATTTTTTTTGTAAATTTACTAACATTTATATTTGATTTAGATTTATTGTAGTGTTTAATCAATATTTTGTATAAAGTGGAATAACCTCAACGGTTACTCTTAGAAAACAATTTGGGAATAAAGATGAAGTGGGTTCATACAGGTATTTGTTCATTAAGTAGTTAAGTACTTTGTTAATTGCTCCAATCAAAAAAGGTTCAAATAATATAGCCTAGCATGCGCGGTAGAAAAGAAAGCACCTATATATAACAGTAGAACATAGAGGTAAATTCCGTTTCTTAAAACTAACAAAAAGTATTTATGTCGTGATTAGTTTCAATAACTGGGTAATGGAACCCTAACCAGTCGCAAAATAGTTAGTAATTAAACGTTGATTAGGCCCTTTTTTTGTAGAATATGTAAATCAATCACACCTTAAGGAGGATTACCACCACATATACTTACACTAGGCTAATAATAGTGGTTTTTTTAATGTTCATCAGAAACAAATTTAGGGTTAAGTTCTGTCAATGGGATGCCTTTACTTAAGACTAATTTTGTTAAACCTTTACAAAATGAGCATAGACTTAGAAATAATAACTGGGTAGGGTAGGGATGCTAATTTAGCGGTTTTGACCGAGAACTAAGTTTATGACAACACACCATTTTTTGCCTTTTCTTATTTGACGAAGACAATTTCCAATACTGTATTTCAATCATGGAAGCCTTTTTATCAGCATTAACCAAAAAACCAAAGCTACCTTAATAAACCAATATTTATTCTTGGTACCTCTGGAATCATTAAAATTCTTTATTGAAAATAACATCAACAAAAGCAAACAACGACAAATAACAAACTGTTTTTGTTTTTTTTTTTACACAAAAGATGTTGTACTGGGATATCTATCCTGACACATATATCATTTGATTCTGAGTTTGATTAAATATTACAATAATTTCTTTTCCATTTGAGCTTTTTAGGGACTTATGTCCCTACAAGCCACTAGTTTTCTTTAATTACGTCTGACCGAACGCTAAACAATTGTTTGGACGTTGGGTTAGGATTACCCAAAGCCGGGAAAAGGAAAATAGACCCTATATTTTGAATACAATAAAAAAAGTAATTTAATAATGTTGGTAGAAAACAATCTTTTTAGGCGGGATAAAAGAGTATGGCTCTTGATCGCCAATCAGTTTAACGCGATCGCTGATCACAGAGATGCTTACGCCTTAACTAAAAACCTTGTGGGATAACCTAAAGCAATGCACTATGTGGTGTGGGATAGCCTAAGCACAAACCACTAGTGGTTTGTATTTATTGCCTAAATAAAAAGACTAAACGTTTTGATAGTTCATATCTAATAATAAAATCAATTTCATCTTTGTTTTTAAAATCATTAATCCTTTCTTTTATCCACCTAGTTCGGCGAACAACATAGGCTACTCTTCATCGCAATCACTTTCTAAAGCTTATTTGTATCGTATTCTCTTCTACCATTTGGCATTTCCATATAAACTTAAAACCTTAAAGACAGCTGATATTTACTTAACGAAGAATTAAAGAAGTTAACCGGTCAAAATTGGGCAGTTAATTATCTAACGACGGTTTAGTCTAAACTAGCTCTAACGGCGGGTGGTGAAATCTGATTTCGTCAGCTAAGACTTAACTGCAGTTAGAGCATGGTTTAACGGCGGTTTAAAGTGTTTTTTGAAATCGGGCCTTAGTAGTTCCTGCAAATCTCCTTGTCCATTTGGCCTTATGCAGTGTGTTGTTCCACATCAGCTTGGAGTCAAGTGTCAGTCCTAAATACTTGACTCTACTCAACACTCTCAGCTAATTAGTGCTAACTTTCAGCCTGGAATGAGAATCCAAGTTCTTTTTCCTGTGAAAGGGACTTTGACTGTCTTGGAGGGATTAATATTGAGTCCTTCTTTGAGACACCATGCTTTAAACATATTGCAGGTTGACATTAGTGACTTCAGCTACAATGTTATGGAAATGTGTCTACATAGGCAGGGCCTGTGCGTAGACATGAGTTGCGGGTAATTTGTTTAGTGAATGGGAATTTTTTTTTGAAGTGATTGTTATCACGTCTGAAAATAAATGTTGTCTTGCTTGGAACTGGACTACGATATTTCTCTGAAACTAAGTAGAATCTAAAGTGCTTCACAAAAATCAAGTGATAGGTTGAGCGGAGAGGAGTGGCGGGTTGTGTATTAGTTAGTCATTGAAGGTGGTGTATCAGTGATTGTGTGTTGTAGTGTAGGGTCAACGGTCAGGTCAGCCCGACGCGATAACAGCCTCGGTGTCCTCTGAACTCAGTCCCACAAGCCACGCTACTACATGTCTCTTAAACAAAGAGAGAGATGGTGAATTTAAAATTTCAAAATTCTGGTATTTATCACACAACTTACGATAGATAATTTGGGTTAAATGAAAGCAGTTTGTGTGTGAAAATGATTTTACAGTCTGTGGAACAAATATACCAACGTTTTGAGAGAAGCGCGTGTTGTGTGAATGAGTAGTTTTTTCAAAAATATTATCAAAATTGTTGTACATGTGTACTAAAATAAATTTCAAAAACAACTGCCTAACTGTCAAAACTCCTAATTCTGCAAATAGGTCGTCAGTTGAATATCTAAAGTGTTTTTTAAAAGCAACTTTTAAAATTGTTTTCTGCATTACAAAAAGAGGCTGCAAGATAGTTTTGTAAGCACCACCAAAAGCAATAATTCCAAATGATAACAATGATTGAACGTATGCGTAGTAAGCAATTTTAATTTCTCGCTCTTCGAGAACATCACTAAGTTGTCTGAATGCATAAATGTATTTACGTAGCTTATTTTTTAGATATTCAACATGCCCTGGACAAAGCCCTGGACAAAGATGCCCTTGTTGATGAGTTCACATTAAAGACCTTCCACCACAAGGTTCCACAGTAAGGGTGAAAGTACACCGCCCTGTGGACATCCTCCTAAAGGGTGCGATCACAATTTTTTCCACATGAAAGTCAACCACGCCGCGTATTGAGTTAAGCATAGACTCTGCCCATCTGCACAAAGATTGCTCAAGTCTACGCTTACAAACTCCCTGCACCATAGGGACAGACAAACTCCGTATGATGCACACCAATTTGTTACTTTAGTATGTGATAGTATAATGGTCGTGGGGGAGCGAGCTGGTCTAGTGGTTAGAGTGCGGGATTCCGGTTCCTGGGGTCCCGGGTTCAAATCCCGCCAAATCACCGATGGATTTTATATAAGTGATATTGCCGTAACCCCTAGGTCTAGCCTGAAGTAATGTGAAAAACAATTCCGGGCTCGTGCCTAGCATCCTAGGACAAGAAAAAAAATTAAAAAAGTACAATGGTCCTGTAAAGAAAGTTAAATATAGTAAAGGTGTCTGATTTGCTCATAAAATGCTATAAATTCTTTTTATAAATTTGTTTACCCTAATTGGAGTGTGACTGATTAAATGGTCAGAGAAAGTAGTGTTTATGTCTTAGTGCTCGATCTGCGGCAGAACGGCGTTCCAGTGCCTCTCTTTCCGAAAGATAAAAATATTGGCATAAATAAATAGGTACATAAATTGGTACTTATCACATTAAATAGGTTACAGTTCCAGCACTTCATTTTTTACAAATCGAGCACAGCTTAGAGGTATTGGTTAAAAGCCGCCAATTACCAATGGCTCTGTTTTTTGTGATAATGATAATGCCATGTCGAACGGTTCAGAGCCCACCGTCAAATCAAATCAAATCAATCTTTATTCCAAGACACCAATGTACACCAATTCTTATGTTCTTATGTTCTTGTGTTCACCTATTGTATTATTTAGTATTTAGTATTTATTATTGCTTGTTATCTCCCGTATGTAATGGTATTATTGTACAATGGCTTCTGCCGTGAATAAACTAATTGAATTGAATTGAATTGAATTGAATGTACAAAAATCATACAATGCTGTAAAGGCTGTGACAATATAGTAAACAATAAATTAATAAAACATTCTTTAAGTCAAAATGATTCTCCTAAATCAGAAACACAGTGTTTCAATAACAAATTCTTAACAGATATTTTAAATTTATCTAATGGTAACACTTGAACAACTTAATCGAGGAATATTTAAAACTATTTTGAGTAATACTGTAAGTACAGTAATAATTTGTAAGCTAAGCACAGATTCTAGTTTTATAACTATGGATATCATTATGGAAAGACCAAGTGTTAATGTTCTTTTTACAATATATAAGACAGTGAAAAATATACATTTACAAATAAGAGGATTTACAGAAAAACAATTAAAAATGGGTTTAACTTGAATTTTTGGTGGAACACCAGCAATTAATCCAAGCACTCTCTTTTGCAACACAAATAAAGATTTTACCTAACCACAATTAGCCCGAAGAATGGTACCACAAGTAAGATGACAGTGTATGTAACTATAGTAAAGAGGAAGCAGAACTTCCCTCGAAACAACAATTTTTGGTTTTCTTTATGTAAACATACCTTTGGATATTTTAACAACTACGAAGTCAATATGAAGTTACTCTGAATTAAGACAGCTTAAAATGTAATAGGTTGTTGATTAGATTCTGTTTTGGCCTAAGATATTGTTAGATCTTGAGTTGTATTTATATTTAATTGTGATTGTGTGATTTATTCAGATTACTTGGTGTAGTGATAGATAATTTACTACCATTATACTAACAGAGCCAACAGTGATTACATTCTACAAGTCCTTAGGAATTTAAAAATTTTGACAAACATTATCAGCGTACATACTACAAGAAACAAATTCATTCTGTATATTATAAGGCAGATCATTAACATAAATTATAAACAGCAAAAATCCTAAGATCAAATCTTGTGGAATGCCATGTTTAGACTCTAGCAAATTCGACAAAACACCGCCAAAGAACACTGCCTGACTTCTATCACGACGTAGATAAGATTCCATCAATGGAACTTAGTTATCAGTTAACCTTTTGGTCCATCGATCCAACACAGGTCCCTTAAGCTACAACAACCTTATTTGTATTAAAGCACCAAAAGTCGTTGAATATGCTATTTAATCCGCATGTAGTTCATGATTACATATTTTTTCAGATAACTTTTCTGCTGATATTTGGGCCCTTTGTGTTCTTCAACGTACAGAAGACGAAATACATTCAACTCTTCACAACACTTACAAGATGGCTAGGTAACAATTTGTGCTAAATAAAAATATGTAGAAAAAATTTAATTGTTGTAAATTACTTTTTCTGAGGTTTAAACAAAGAATAACTCTGGTGAAGTTTTGTCGGTTAAAATTAAATTAACGTCAATTATTTAATGTTAGAACTGAATGGGATGGAAAATAATTAATTGTCAATTGAATGTACCATTATATAGTTAAGGTATTCTTGGTATGTCAGAAGAGGTTTTTGATAGGAAGATTAAGCTTACCTGTAGAGTGGGTCAGTCTTCTCATCAGGAAACACATTTATAAACACACAACATTTAAATACTACCTTATGTCCACTGACAACTTTGTCTGGTAATGTAGGATGTCAGGTAAGGTAAGGTGGATGTTTCGGATGTGTCTACTACCTGCGCCAGGACCGTCCGTGTCGTGTCTTAATGTTCGTTTTGTGTTATTTATTTATTGAGTGCATATGACAGTAATGTCTTTTTTTATGTATTTGTACCCTGACAATGCCGTATTAACGGTGAAACATGTAGGTTTTTAACCTCACATCAACAACATTGGATTACTTGACGTGGTAATTATAACACAATATTATAGTTTCGGATGCATCGCAGCAATGGCCTTCAAGGCAAGCCACAATTTTAACTGTGAGGTTGGCCAGTTTTTTTGTCAGATCGAGAACACAATCATCTCCCGAATACCAAAATGTGAGAGTTTTAAAGTATTTTATGTTTGATAAGGTTTGAGTGAGGTAATATAAATTGGTATATTATTGTTTAAAATTGCAATTCAAGTTGTCCTTCACCAATATTGCAATCTCCCTTCCTTTGTGATTACTGTAACTAAATTATCAGTGGTCGAGAAATATTTAAATATTGTGCAAATTTGTAAACATGTTTCCTATTGAGAAGGCTGAGGCACTGTAAACATAAGTCTGTTCTTCCTATCAAAAACAAAATCCAACCTCATAATATAGTTTGCTTACTTTGCTGATTAAATTTTGAATAAAAAACCTATTTCTCCTCATTGTCTGGTTGTAACTTTTTGTAATCTCGTGTAAAGCCTATTCCACTGACCATTCTGTCATAGTTATTCTCCCTGTTGCAGCGTTCACTGTGATGATCTACCTGACAGTGTCTCGTCTGCTAGACCCGTCAGTCCCCCACTCCTCCCCTCACCCTGCAGTTGTGTCGGGGTTCCCCTCTCTCCTCAGCTCATGTGTGTACGCCTTCATGTGTCATCACTCCTTACCCTCACTCCTCTCTCCCATCAGGAACAAGGAGAATCTACATCGCAATCTAGCCGCAGACTACTTACTGGTGCTCATGTTCTACCTCACACTCGCCGTTCCAGGTAGGTTAGGTCAGGTGCTCAACATGCGTTTGTAATAACAGGAAACAGTTAAAAATTATTTTCATATTTTTGTTGGTTGTGCTTGTTGGAGTACCTATTTATTTTCAGTATTTTAAATATTATTTTTATTGTCAATGTTGTGTATGCTTGGATGGTCAGTGTTTTAGTTTAGTTTAGTGTTTTAGTTTGCACTTTTATTAATTACAGTTTTCTGTAATTAACGGCATCTTGAAAATCCATTTTCTGTACTGTAAAATACCAAGAACTAACCTAGGTCTAATGTGAACTTGTTACCATGCCATGTAAAGATCTTATTTCTATATCACACATGTGTTGGAGTTTGTTCGAATTTATGTTTGTAAAAGGCAATTACTTTTGTATGTTTACTGGAATAAACTGATTTGGGATTTGAATTGTTTGCAGCAACACATTTTTATTGTAGGATACTAATACCGAAGACACCTAAAAAGAATAATATTACTATATATAATGTAAAGTTATATAATTGTAATCATTTTACATAATTTATATCTTTAAGGGTAAAAAAGGCATTATTTGAAGTCCCAGTCAAACGTAAAAAATAGATGTAATTCAGATGGTTTGTGTTTTTTTACATTAAATAGTCCATAAACTTACATAATATATATGTAAAGGCTTTAGTAATTTAAAAACAGTATTTTCAACAATTTTTTACTTTATCAACTTTTGATAAATGTATTAGTTTTTTCACAATTATTTTATTAACATTCAGAAGTGTTTTATTTCATGATAAACCCCATGAAAATGTAAACATATATAGGAGTAATAATTTTACACAGTTTATGCTAGAATTTCTTAGCAGGCTAAAAGAATCAGATAGGCTAGTACAGTCAAGTACAGATGCCTAAAGTCTGGACTTATCTTCAGAATGAACCACTATAGTGCATAACCATACCACTAGGAAATAACACAGAATTTCATTACTCTACTGTACGTAGGGAGGGTTAGACAAGGCTACTCTACCAGAGTTTAAATGCTTATTAAGTATTTTATTTGTCCACAAGAGTTTTTATTTTAATTTGATAATTTAAAACTATTGATGCAATGTTCCAGCTGTGTTTGCGTTCCCCCATATCAATGATTTGTTCACCCTCAACTTTGTTCCACAACCCGGAGACTCTGAGGAGTTGCAGATTGCTGACTACTTCCTCATCCTGTTCCCAGTTTTCACCCTCACTGCCAGCTTCCCTGTCATCTCGGTTACACTGCGCAACAACTTGCAGGTATATCTAACATACATGCTGATCTTGATAACATACTCCCTTATAGTTCATTATACTTTAATTTTACAAAATACTTGCTGGAGATGATGTAAAATCTAGTAAATTGCATGCAGATTACAAGCTTATTGTGGACAAAGAATAACTGAGAAAAACATTTTTCTTATTGCCATACCTTCAGTTATCTCAATTTAAACAATGTTAAAAAGTAGTGTTATCAATTTAACATTGTTGAAATGGTGTGTAGGTATGGTAAGAAGAAGAATTAATTTCTCAGTTATTCTTCGTTATTCTTATTATAATATCCATCTACTAGGAGGTCACAAATTGTGGATAGTTAAAGGCATGCACTGTGGATGCGATACTCCCTGGTGTGGATTAACGTCTGCACGAGTGAGTACTACGACTATCCGCAGTACTATCCTGATAATTAGACCAATTTGTATGTACCAAGTAGTGATGTGTCAAAACCAAATCTCAAATCTCAAAACCATCAAAACTTTGGAAAAGTTTCAGTTTTGATATTTGATCACCGAGTTTTGAGATTCAAAAGTTTCAAAATTGAAGATTTTTTAAATTTTATTTTTGAAACTACTGTCTTTTTTGTGTCATTATTATTGTTTTTAACACTGTTTCCTCACAAGCTGGTAGCAATAGAGCAAAAATATCACCATTCTATATACTAGGGTTGCTTTCAGAGAGGTGAAAGCCAGTTGAGCGGAACAAACTTGATTTGATATTTGTATAAGTAAATATATGTAAAAAAGTCAATAGATATACTAATGCTTGTTTTATTGATACAAATTTTAATAATTCAAATTTGTTTTAACTACATCTTGTTATTCAGATACCTATCCGGAAGTGCATTATGGTAGTTTTGACCAGAAAAATATTACAGTAGTTGGAATCTGATATTAACATCCAAAAAGTGCATTCAAGTATAAAAAAGGGAAAGGAAATTTAACATTCAAATTAAACTGTAGCTTACAAAAAAAAAATTGGACTTCATTTTTCACCCTTACAATCGGTTAAAGTATTTGAGTATAAAAAAAAACAGTAACTATTTAAAAAACGAGTATTAAAGTATAACATCAGGAGGGGAAATTTGACATTTAAATTCAACTGTGCAACATAAACATTGGTCTTCATTTCAACCATTGCAATCGGTTAAACTCAGCTTTCTTTGCTGGAAATAGTTTATGATTGTTAATACCAAGTATTCTTGATGGAGGATATGATTGTAATGTAACTGGAATGTAGGTCTTCTACCATTATTGGGACGATTTAGAGACGGCATTTTAATACTGGCCTTAATAAAACCATTGGACAGCCCTAGACAATTATCCATACCGTGGTTAAAAGTGTACTTCTATTAAGCCCAGGTAATTAATTATTTACTTATTACGGTTGTAACTGGACGTATGTATAGTCTATCGTATGTACGTATGTATGTATTGTCGTGGCTTGGCAATCAAATAGCAGTATTTAGGATAGGCTACTGTTATCAACATTTGAAATTACTGAATTGTTACCAAATTACTGTTTCACAAAATGCAGATTCCATTTTTAGCCAAGCCATTAAAATGAGGATTTGCCAAACGATTATTAATTGGCTATTACAGAATAGTATTTAATGATATACAACTTTTCACATTTCATAAATTATATGTTAGTTTTGCTATGGTCAAAGGTCCAAATCCAAATGTTCTTTTCTTTTGGTCTGTATGTAGTAATTTGCTAGTATCATTGACTTTATATAAAGTCAATGCTAGAATACTGTAGATGGTTTGTTAAGACCATAATATGCAAGCATTTTTGAAATCGTTTCCCCGTTTAACCAACTATTCCAAAAAATAAAAAAATAATATGGTGCAACACAAATAAATAAACCGATCACCTACTTTTAACCTACACTTTACCTTCCTAATCTAACCTTACTTCAAAACACTTAATGTAGTCACGAATACTCATAAACCCCGACCTACCTTCCCCACATGCCTAAATTAGATCAGTGTTCAATCTGCGTTTTATTAATAAGTGTAATAACTTACTGTATCGTCGATGTAATTCAACATAATATAACCTGTGAGGTATTATCGGATTAAATATCGATTTCGATGCGGTTCGATATATCGCTTATTAAATCCTTATTTCTAACATTGACTGTTTCTAATCAGCTGGCAACACAAATAGGTGCCCAAGAGTAAGTAGTCACTGCGATATGCTCCGCGCATTGAAAAAGTAGCTCCGTCCATTTTCGCAATTTGTAGTGAATTCCGCGCCTTAAAAAATGTTTTAACGGTATTTTCTTGTTTATTAAGATCATAGGAATGATTTAAAAACGTTTAAAAGAAAAGTCTAGAAAGTTCAGAAATACCTTATGATTCTCTTGTTTACATTTTTCTTGTAAACAAAAAACTGTCATATGGCTACTTTAGTCCCATAAGCCTAATGTTAAAAATTGGAAATTTTAAGTTCGTTTTAAATTGCATTAGCATTATCTAATTGAAAATTGTTTGTTTAAAAACCATCTCACTATTAGTCTAAGTAATTGTGTTAAGTTTGGCTGAAATGCGTTCAGCCGTTATTGAGTGATGTTTCTCTATTTGTTGCATTGAAGTTGATCCCAAAGAGCTTCGCTCGCTTCGCTCGCTCCGCTCAATAATTCAGTTTTAAAAATCTTTGTACAACTAAATCTAGAGTTCTACTGGACCGATTTTATTAATTAAGGGGTCTTTGGAAAGCTTAAGTCGTGTAGATTTGCAAATAACTATGAAAGTTTGTTTTTATTATGATTTATGGTGAAAATAAAAAAAAAACATGTTTTCCATAAGAAATACATTGAAAACTGTGTTTTCACACTTTTTATTTGGGTGCGACTTTTGGCTGCCTTTTTGAGTATTTCCAAGAAGTGCATGGTATCAATTTGTAGGAAATTTTCAGATCACCGTTTCAAAGTTATTTGCAAAAAAGCTAAGCAACCTCCGAATTTATAGTAATGAGAAAATATTGAGTTTGGGATTTTTTTTAACTTTGTACAACTAAATCTAGACTTCTACTGGACCGATTTGGTTAATTAATGGCTCATTGAAAAGCCTAACTCATGTAGATATGCAAACAATTATAAAATTGTGATTTTATTAAATTTTTTTGTTAAAAAAGTAAAAATAACAAAAATACATTAAAAACTGCTTTTTTTAAGTTTCTGTTTTTAAGATTCTATTTGTAGCCAGCTTTTGGCTGCCTTTATTAAGTATTAACAAGAAATACATAGTAATTATTTGTAGTAAATTTTATTCTCTTTCAGAATATCACATCCACTTTGATTTTTGATTGGTAGATTTTTCCTCCGTTTAAAAGTTATTGGCTAAGTTATTGGAGCTAAGTGATCTCCAAATTTATAGTGGTGAGAAAATACTGAATTAGATATATTTTTGTTAAACTTTGTACAATTAAATCTAGACTTCTACCTGACCGATTTTGTTACTTAAAGGGTCATTGGAAAGTCTAATTTGTGTAGATTTGCAAATAATTATGAGAGTTTGATTTTATTAGATATTTGAGGTGAAAAAATAAAAATAAACAATAATATACATTTAAAACTCATTTTTTTCCAAGTTTATATTTCCAAGTTTATATTTGTAGCCAACTTTAGGCTGCCTTTACTGAGTATTTTCAAGAAATACATAACAGTAATTTGTAGGAAATTTTATTCTCTTTCAGAATATCATCTTCCACTTTGGTCGATTTCCTCACCGTTTCAAAGTTATTTGCAAAAACGTTAAGCAACCTCCCAATTTATAGTGGTGAGAAAATACTGAATTAAGGATGTTGTTGTTAAACTTTGTACAAATAAATCTACAGTTTTACTGAACCGATTTTATTAATTAACACGTTCGCGGCGGCATGGGAGCGATCGCTCCCATACGGAACCCTAATGCCATCCTGGTGGGTGCGATCGCTCCCAAGCTGCATAGCAGTACAAAATGATTTATTTTTAAGCCAGGATTAGAGCTAGAAACTTGAAACCTCGCACAGCACTGCTCAATAGTATGCGGAATTTTTTGTGGTGTAGGTTGGTAGTAAATTTCCCCGTAAAATCCCCATCTGGCAATCTCAAAATCGACTTTTAGTCCCGTCTTTATCCCTCCATTTGGCAATATAATTCCAATGGGACCGGCTACGTTCCAAGCAGTGCTGCTATCTGTAGGTGTTTAGCGAACTACGTCGACTCTCGTTGTAAAGCAGGACATCCTCGCACGTTATTTGCTATTTGTCAGACCGAAATTGGAAAGCCAATCACACGCGGCAATCGGGTTTGTTCGACGCTGAGGGCGCGCCGCACTGGGGATATGCCCGCCATTTGACGTGCCGCCGCGAACGTGTTAAAAGGTCATTGGAAAGCTTAATTTGTGTGGATTTGCAAATAATTATAAACGTTTTTTTAAAGATTTTCTAGGTGAAATCCGTCAAAGTCGACAGTTACTGTTGAGGTTGCAAGCAAGATCGTTTGACTATAAATCAATCATAAATAACTCAATTTTTTTAACAATTTGTGTTGTTCGTGATTTAGCTGTGTGCTTTAGGTACGTCTATCTTAATAATCAATAAATCAAATGGAAGCTGGCATTTCACTGAAGGTTCTTAGGTGTAAAGAAAAATGAAACACTTCTTTGCCTTCTAAATTTATATATTTAAATATGTATTTAAATATATGTTTTTACTCTCCTTGCTATCACCTCAATAACTCTCTGACAATTTAATCTTTACAAATTTTGGTTGCCCCTGGGTTGGAAGAACTGTGAATAATATAAACAACAGAGCGTTTGGCAGTGGAAGTTTGATGTTAAATAATATTTTAGTGGGCCCTGTAGAATAAAATTATCCCCAGAAGTCCTTATGGGACGTCCCTGATACTGTTTGAAGTTCTTCCAGACTGAAATAAATCTTAAAGTACACTGAATTTACTCTCTACACTGCCACACTAAACCTAGTGTTGCACT